GCCTCGTAACTTAAGTATTCAGAGGTTTAGTGCCTCTGGGTGTGGAGGTCCGTTTTAGTCACAATGGCAAGAAGGAGGAGGAGGAGGAGATTGGATTTATACCCTGCCCTTCACTACCCGAAGGAGTCTCAGAGCGGCTCACAATCTCCTTCCCCTTCTCCTCTCCACAACTGACACCCTGTGAGGTAGGTGGGGCTGAGAAAACTCTGACAGAAACTGCTCTTTTTCAGGAACATCTCTGACAGAACTACGGCTTGCCCAAGGTCATCCAGCAGGTGCAAGTGGAGGAGTGGGGAATCAAACCCAGTTCTCTCAGATTAGAGTCTGATGCTCTTAACCACTACACCAAACTGCCTCTCAGTAGCCAGTGATGGACCTCTCCTCCATGAATCAGTCCCGTGCCCTTCAAAAGTGGCCATCTCTGCTTGTGGCCATCACTGTGTCCACGGGCAGTGCATCCCAGGATTTAAGTAGTCAAATAAAGAAGTCCTTCCTTTTGTCTGTCCAGAATCTGTTGCCTATCAACTTCATAGTTGCCTCTAAGCATAGTTAGATTTGAGAGTTAGTCTCGGAGGTGCTACTTGGACTTGAATCTCACTGTTCTTCTGCAGACCAGCACAACTGCCCTCTGAAACTGTCTCCAAGTATAGTATTAGGAAGTGGGAGAAAAAGTTCTTTCTGTCCTGTTTCTCCAACTTGTTTGGAGACAGGGCATCTTTCCCACAGGGCCTTGGGGTAAGCGGTCTCTGAACATGTGCATTCATCTCTGTTTTTCATATCCGGTCCTAAGCTCTGGCATCAAGCAGCAAGCTCGGATGTCCGAAACAGCTCCTTATGCGTCCTTCTCCTCTACCCTGGACCTCCCCTGTGCCACATCTTTGTCTCCTGCTTTCCTACACGGACTAATGAATGCGCTTTAATAGTTATCCAGTTGGACATTGGAGAGTCATCGAACCAGCATGCAAAAGTAACGGTGACCAGCTGTAAGGATAAATCTGCACATCTAAGGGAAGGGTGTCTTGTTGCCTGATGCAACCGTGCGCGGGATGAAACCCCTGGCGCAAGAAGGATCCACATAAAGGCTGAAAGGATTGATTGAAAGGGGCCGAGATTCAAAGCCAATTTTTATTGATCGACGCCAACCTCGGGTCGGTTGGAAGTCCTCAAAAAAGAAATCCCACGGCTGCTGCGGGTGTTTGTGGAAGTGGCAGGCCACCTGAGTGTCTGCCTGGCATTATGTAAGGGAGGCTTTTTTTAAAAAAAACAACCCTATTTATCTTTAAGCTGTTTTTGTACTTTTGAGACAGAAAGGGAAGAATATGAAAAGCTTATGTATTAATAGGCCGTCCTCTCTGCCGCAGTCACAAAAGCCTTTTAAAAGAAGTTTGGGGTGGCAGAGGACTCGGAAATGTGTCCGTCTTTCCTTCCGCCAGCTCCTCACTCCATTTTGTGAGCGTATGGCTAGAAATACCTGAATGAAAAACAGGCTAGAGTGCCAAGGGGGTTTAAACAAACACTGATCTGGAGAGAAAGGTTTTTTTTAAAAAAAGTTAATGCGGGTTTTTGCTGCCAGGATGTGAAAGAGAAACGGTGGAGATCGCCAATCCCTGCCATCTGCGACCCAAAGAGACAGCTGAGCTCCTAGGGAGATGCTGAGAGGAGAGCTGATAACAGGCACTACCAGGGCAGGTGGGAGAGGGGAACTGAGGTTACTTCAGATCCAAAAAAAGCATGATGTGCAATCTTCCCCTCGAAAAAGTTTTAGCAAAAATCTGTGTCCTGGTTTTCACCATCAGAATTCTAGCATCCTGCCTAGTCTTGGAAGGTTTGGGTTTTATTTTCGTGCCATTTTCCCTGTAGCAATGACCCTTCTGCTCTTGAAGTGCTGTTTACTCTATGCAAGGGGAAGGGGGATAGACAGCTTTCTGTCTGTCTTTCTAGCACCTGGTTATCTTGCCCCAGAGGGCTGCGGTGGCTCAGAGGTTAAGACGCTGAGCTGCAGACCGGAAGGTCTGTAGCTTGGCAGTTCGAGACCCGAGTGCCACATGATGGAGTGAGCTCCCGTCTCTGGCCCCAGCTCCTGCCAACCTAGCAGTTCGAAAGCAAGAAATTGCAAGTAGATAAATAGGTACTGCTTCAGTGGGAAGGTAACAGCATTCCGTGTGCCTCGGAGATGAGCACTGCCCCCTAGGGTCAGATTCAACTGGCTTTCGAGCAAGGAAAACCTTTACTTTTACTATCTTGCCCTAACTGCAAGGACTTCACAGTAGCTTTCGTGGGTCTCCTTTTCCCCAGTTCATTCACCCGACAGTCCTGTGAGCTAGGTTAGCTAAGCAAGTGGTATAAGCTTTCGTGTGCAAGCACACTTCCAGCATCAGCATGACGCAACGTGACAGTGTGCTTGCACACGAAAGCTTATACCTTGTTATAAAACTTTGTTGGCCTTAAAGGTGCCACTGGATTCAAACTTTGTTCTGGGTGACCTTCGATCAGTCACACTTGCTTAGCTAACCTAGCTCACAGGATTGTCTGGTGAATGAACTGGGGAAACTTTGTTGGCCTTAAAGGTGCCACTGGGCTCAAATGTCGTTCTGCTGCTTCAGACCAACACAACTACCCACCTGAACCGAGGTCATCCAATGAGCTTCATAGTTGTCGTCGTTCAGTCACACAGTCGAGACTTTGCAACCCCATAGACCCCATCACGCCAGGCCCTCCTGTCCTCCATCGTCCTCCGGAGTTCACTTAATTTCATGTTCGTTGCATCGACAACACTGTCCAGCCATCTCATCCTTTGCCGTCCCCATCTTCTTTGACCTTCAGTCTTTCCCAGCATCAGTGTCTTCTCCAGTGAGTGCTCCCTTCTCATTTGGTGGCCAAAGTATTTGTGCTTCAGCTTCATTATCTGGCCTTCCAGGGAACAGTGAGGGTTGATTTCTTTTAGGATTGACTGATCTGATCTCCTTGGAGTCCAAGGGAATCTCAAGAGTCTTCTCCAGCACCATAGTTCAAAAGAATCTATTCTTCGTCGCTTGGCCTTCCTTATAGTCCAACTCTCGCAGCCATACATGACTACTGGGAATACCATTGCTTTGACCATGCGGACTTTTGTTGGCAGGGTGATGTCTCTGCCTTTTATTATGCTGTCTAGGTTTGCCATCGCTTTCCTCCCAAGGAGCAGGCATATTTTAATTTCATGGCGCTTCATAGTACTCATTGGATTTTTGAGAACCTGGGTTTCCCAGGTTCTAACCTGACACTAGGTTCCTGTAGGCTATTTGTCTGTTTCCCCCATTAGGCATGGAGCAGTCAGTAGGGGAGGACGTCAGGAAGACAGCAAGCAGAGCTGGAGAAGTACAGAAGAGGGTAATCAAGATGATGAGGTGGTTGGAGCACCTTCCCTATAAGGAAAGGCTGAAGAGTCTGGGACTTTTCAGTTTAGAAAAGAGATGACTGGGGGGGGGGGCATGCATAGGGTGGAGTTTAATCACAAGGAGAACTTTTACTCCCACTCCCAAAATATTAGAACTCGATGGTATCTAATGAAGCTTATGGGCAGTAGAAAATACTTCCTTGCACACTGAGTGATACCAAAGTGGAATTTGCAGCCAGAGGATGTAGTGATGGCCACAGGCACTGACAGCTTTAAAAGGGGATAAATTCATGGAGGATAGGTCTATCAGTGGCTGCTCGCCATGGTGACTAAACAGAACCTCCTTGTTCAGAGGCAGTCAACCTTTGGATCCCAGTGCTGGGAGGCAACATCAGGGGAAGGCCTCGGCCTCTCAGACTTGTTGTTGGCCTTCCAGAGGAACTGATTGGCAACTGTGTGAGACAGAAGGCTGGACTCGGTGGACCACAGGTGTGATCCAGGAGGGCTCTGCTTGTGTTATTATGGGAGAAAAGGTTAACCACCACCACCCCTTCCAGCACTGTGGTGCTGATCTCGATTGCAGGACCATGAGATCCTGCATTGGGCAGGGGGTTGGACTAGATGCTCTGTATGGCCCCTTCCAACTCTATGATTCTATTTCTGTTTCTCTTTTAGCCCTTATTCAGGGGTTTTCAGTATTACAGTCCTCTAGTAGCTCTCTGACTGCTGTAGAATAGCTTATGAAGCCTGTAGAAACCCAGGTGGAAAATGTGAAAAGGTCTGCTCTAGGCTTTTTAAAAAAGTTTTTATTTCAAAAAATCTTTCCTTGT